ATATAAATCTATAAGGGAAGGAAGGGGGGGTAGGGGTCGTCCTCGAAAGGGTTGGAAAGAGGGGGTAAAGGAGGTTTTGTGGGCAAGGGGCTTGGACTTCCAGCAAGCTTGCGTGAGCGTGTTAGATAGGAGTGAATGGAGACGAATGGTACTTGGGACCTGACGATCTGTTGGAGTGTGAGCAGGGTAATATTTAGTAAAGGGATTCAGGGAAACCGGTTATTTTCATATAGTCGGACTTGAGTCCTGGAAATGGGAAGTACAATGCCTGCACTTTAAAGGAGGGGTTTGGGATATTGGCAGTTTGGAGGGATATGTTGTGTATCTTTATATGTGTATGCTTCTAAACTGTTATATTCTGAGCACCTCTGCAAAAACAGTGATAATGTGCGAGTGTGGTGAAAGTGTTGAATGATGATGAAGGTATTTTCATTTTGGGGATTTTCTTTCTTTTTTGGGTCACCCTGCCTCGGTGGGAGACGGCCGACTTGTTAAAAAAAAAAAAAAAAAATTACGTACATTGTTTCAGTGTGACTAGTGGTGTTTCAGTGTGACTAGTCATGCCTATGCTGTCAGTGACCCTGATAAACCCAACAACAACACCACCACCACTAGTCACATATGTAACGACATATTTTATTCATTATAGAGTATATATCATGTTTTTATGTTATTTATATCATTTATTATGTCATAGACGAATTGTGATAGACAAATAAGTCGTAGAGTTGACATCAGCATCATATTTAAGTATTTTGTCCTGTCTCCAAACGATAAACTCTCCTCCCTCTTCCCTCCTTGCTGTTTGCCATATGCCAACAAGTCTCTTCAATAAAGGTAAAAGTGAAGCTAAATGTCCATTTATCCATTTCATTAGTGCCTTATATTTATTTCTCATTGTTTTCTGTATATAAAACTATGGTTAATCTTTAAAAAATGTATTTTTTGTTAATATTTTTGGGTGTCTGGAACGGATTAATTGTTATTATTATCATTATTATCACACTGGCCGATTCCCACCAAGGCAGGGTGGCCCGAAAAAGAAAAACTTTCACCATCATTCACTCCATCACTGTCTTGCCAGAAGGCTGCTTTACACTACAGTTTTTAAACTGCAACATTAACACCCCTCCTTCAGAGTGCAGGCACTGTACTTCCCATCTCCAGGACTCAAGTCCGGCCTGCCGGTTTCCCTGAACCCCTTCATAAATGTTACTTTGCTCACACTCCAACAGCACGTCAAGTATTAAAAACCATGTCTCCATTCACTCCTATCAAACACGCTCACGCATGCCTGCTGGAAGTCCAAGCCCCTTGCACACAAAACCTCCTTTACCCCCTCCCTCCAACCTTTCCTAGGCCGACCCCTACCCCGCCTTCCTTCCACTACAGACTGATACACTCTTGAAGTCACTCTGTTTCGCTCCATTCTCTCTACATGTCCGAACCACCTCAACAACCCTTCCTCAGCCCTCTGGACAACAGTTTTGGTAATCCCGCACCTCCTCCTAACTTCCAAACTACGAATTCTCTGCATTATATTCACACCACGCATTGCCCTCAGACATGACATCTCCACTTCCTCCAGCCTTCTCCTCGCTGCAACATTCATCACTCATGCTTCACACCCATATAAGAGCGTTGGTAAAACTATACTCTCATACATTCCCCTCTTTGCCTCCAAGGACAAAGTTCTTTGTCTCCACAGACTCCTAAGTGCACCACTCACCCTTTTCCCCTCATCAATTCTATGATTCACCTCATCTTTCATAGATCCATCCGCTGACACGTCCACTCCCAAATATCTGAATACATTCACCTCCTCCATACTCTCTCCCTCCAATCTGATATCCAATCTTTCATCACCTAATCTTTTTGTTATCCTCATAACCTTACTCTTTCCTGTATTCACTTTTAATTTTCTTCTTTTGCACACCCTACCAAATTCATCCACCAATCTCTGCAACTTCTCTTCAGAATCTCCCAAGAGCACAGTGTCATCAGCAAAGAGCAACTGTGACAACTCCCACTTTATGTGTGATTCTTTATCTTTTAACTCCACACCTCTTGCCAAGACCCTCGCATTTACTTCTCTTACAACCCCATCTATAAATATATTAAATAACCATGGTGACATCACACATCCTTGTCTAAAGCCTACTTTTACTGGGAAATAATTTCCCTATTTCCTACATACTCTAACTTGAGCCTCACTACCCTCGTAAAAACTCTTCACTGCTTTCAGTAACCTACCTCCTACACCATACACCTGCAACATCTGCCACATTGCCCCCCTATCCACCCTGTCATACGCCTTTTCCAAATCCATAAATGCCACAAAGACCTCTTTAGCCTTATCTAAATACTGTTCACTTATATGTTTCACTGTAAACACCTGGTCCACACACCCCCTACCTTTCCTAAAGCCTCCTTGTTCATCTGCTATCCTATTCTCCGTCTTACTCTTAATTCTTTCAATAATAACTCTACTATACACTTTACCAGGTATACTCAACAGACTTATCCCCCTATAATTTTTGCACTCTCTTTTGTCCCCTTTGCCTTTATACAAAGGAACTATGCATGCTCTCTGCCAATCCCTAGGTACCTTACCCTCTTCCATACATTTATTAAATAATTGCACCAACCACTCCAAAACTATATTGTATTTACATTAATTCTTATGGGAAATATTACTTTGGTTTTTGGCCTTTTCAGATTTAAGCTGACACTCTGAAATGGATTATGGCCGAAATTCGGGGTTCCACTGTACTAGGAAATTTTCCTTGTTTACTTTCTTACATCACATTGTGATTTTACATGTAGTTATGCTATTATGCCTTTTTCACTTGTCTACCACTAGAAATGTATTTTTTTTAGGTTTCTTTGTAATTCATATTTTTTGGACAGATTTACAATACAGACTGTAATTGAATGAATGATGGTGAATGCCTTTTTTTTTTATATAACCATGTCTTAGTGGAAAATGGCCAGAAGAAAAAAATTACAGGTCAGCCAGACCAGTGCAAACAATATAGCAGTCCTAAAATTATCTATAAACCACCAAATTATGTAAGAATTCCTGACTAAGTGGAAGTTATTTTTTTTTAAATCCCAACTATGCTTTTAGAATAGGAATATTCAAAGTAGAATGTGGTGAGATTATTGATGAGGGTCAACAACACAACTGGAGGATACCATATCTTTTAACTCAACTAACAGATACCTTCCACGTGTATCAGTGTCGACCTCTAGGCTCAAAAGAATGATTTCTTATGTTGGGAGTCCACCTTGACAAATTAATTAAAACAAATGCAACACTTAGGTATCTTTAATGACGAAATATTTGGCTTCATCAGCTGAATACAGAACTGAATAGTATACTGGAGACACTAGAAGTGGAGAGGTAATTTTAAGTTGTCTTTTTAAAACCAGTATTATATAATGTTGGTCTTCTGCTACATATGAACTGGTATTTTTTATTCCTTCAATGACTTGTTTAAAACTGCCTTGATAGAATACCTTAACTCATAAGCACATTTCTTCTGTAATCAACATGACAGAGTTCACCTTTTCTACATCCTTGTCTAGTGTATTTCACTTGTTCATGTTCTTCATAATAAAGATTCTTCTTAAATTTCTTTTGATTTTAAACCTCCGCCTTTGTCCTATAGAAGATTGGAGGACTGAAGTGCTGAATGACCCACACATGTATAGTGCTTCAAGAATTTCAATGTAATCTAATAGTTTCACCTGTAATCCTGCCACCTTTGTTCCTTTAGAGTTTGTAGATGAATGGTTCAGAGAACCGACATGTTGCACATGTGTCTAATTTATCCTTTAGAGTTATAATGTTCGATGCTTCAAGCTTGTACGTGCTCTTATATGCATGAGCATGCATTAGAATGCATGCACACAGGTATATGCATGTATCCATCCATCTAAGTGTAACTGTTTACCCCATTTGTTGTTACATGAGCAGAGCTATACTCACTGTCAAGTATTATGTACAATACAGGAATGTGTATGAATACCCTAGGAGATGCATATTGTTTGATCCTTCAATGTATGAGTTAATGGGTCTTAAATACATGATTAATGAAAAATTTTCACATGTAAAACTACAATGAACTGTTAAATTATTTCAAGTGCAAGTATTGAAGAATCAAGAGACTCAGTGAAGAGTGTGTTATACACTCACAAAAAACAAAAATCAATAGTAACATTATTTATCATTCCACAAGATTTACATCTATAACATAAACAGTGGCGGCCCATAGCTAAAATTAGTGGAGGTGCTGCTTCAGAAAATTTTTAGCCATTGTTTTAATATTGTGTAAAATAATAGAACCGAAAAAGCTATGAATTAAATAAAATACCTGGAAGCATGATAATCATCTAATTCTACACTTTATCACATTCAATTATATGGTACATGGTTTTTAAGCACAACATATGTTGCTGAGTCAGAAAGAAACACTACCTTACACTTGCACAACAGAGTTAGCACTGCATCAGAGACAGTGCTCTCTCTACCTAGTGTGCAGCGTCTTATCTCGGACACGTGTGCATGCGCACAACAGCCAAACACCGAGTCGCTGGAACTGTGAAGTGCACAGTTCCATACAAGGATTTTTGTGATTTTTCATGTATTAGGGGATGGCTACTGACATTATGCTTAAGGATTATATAATGTACAAGTATAAAGAAAGAATTAAAGAAAAAAAGACTCATTATATTGAATGTTATCGATAATATCGAGTGAAAATAGGGGTGCTGCAATTCCGGAGTGCCTATACATGAGCCGCCACTGATCATATATAATATATATGTAATGAAATCAGTATCATATACCAAAAACAAATGCTTTTCTACTACAATAAACCCTAAGTATTAATATTTTGCAATTAGTTTATGAAAATAATTAATTTGGTGTTTTTCCTATCTTCCTGAAATAAAATAATATGAGAAGATAATGACAAAAACAGAGACTAACTGACCTCACAGTAGTAGTCCCACTTAGGGTTGATAGTGTTGTTGATAGTCTTGGTTTGGAACTTCTGGGCACCCAAACGCAAAATGCAGTATGGATCAGACTTACCCATACCCATAATCCCAACATCTTTCTTCATCAGATTATGGGCCTCGATGACATTGATTCGAAGAACACCCTATAGAGGTTATACTGTAATTACAATTTCAGAAGTCAAAAATAGATTTTAATGATGAATTGCCATACTATGGGCATATCAAAAAATTTATATAAGTACAGGTACACCACCAATTTTTTAGAAGTGAATGGTCTAGTATCTCTTATAGTCTGGACAAAACTACGAGGGCACATGAGATTCTATCAACTGCCAGACTGGTTTACCGGATAGTCGCTGATAGCACTACGTGTGGGGCACACTCATTTATGTATATCGTTTACACTGCAATTTCTGGTATGATCTCTTGATCTTATGCAATTATTAGCTCATTTTGCTTACATTCAACCTTTGGCTTTGACTTCTAAGAAAGATGCAAGTATAAGTGGTATAGTTGACAAACATACTACTGACAAGTTAATCAAGTTGTCAGGTGAATTTGTTAAGGAGCTAGAATAACATATCTTCATTATCAAACAGGAGCTAATAAATATTTCATGCATGAAAAATTACACAGAGAAAAATCAAAGAACATGAATCAACTTCACTTGGATGAAATGTTTAAAAAGATTAATGCTACAGGTCCAGTACAATTCTAAAATTTGTCACTTTGGGAGTGGTAGTACTGCAACATTCTTTGTAAGTATGGTAATTAATAAACCATGGTGCAATGAGGGTATAAAATTAGTGGATCAGAGGTGCATTGTTGAATTATTATTATGCAACCTCTATTGGTCTGATAAAGTAGATAATCTGGCAAGGCTTTGGAACCAAGGGTGCCAGAATATTGATGGTGTACCTGTAATTAATGTTTCAAAAAAATATTCTGGATTTTGAATTTTTAAATACAGTAAACCCTCAATATAATGGACTAATAGAGAGGACTGTATGATTGTTTGTTAAAATAGAATAATTTAAGATACCAAAAAATAAGAAGTTTAGTACTCTACTGTATACCTAATATAGCACTGTGCACATAATTTACAGATACGTACATGTATACTGAAATAAAATAAGTAAACTAACAATTTACCCAGTGGATTTTACCCCACTATTTCAAGAGTCCATTATATCAAAGTTCTTTGCATCAAGTGTTTACTGTTAAACTTACAAGTTAAAAAAAAATAATGTTATGCTAAACCTAAATTGTGTTATGACACTGATTAAAATGTCTCATCAAACTTGTAATAAACATCAACTGTGATAAGAGAGGTTGTATATACAAATTTGAGATAACTCACTGCAGGAGATGGGCATTTAAGCTCTGCAATATCTATGTCCTGGACAAGTTGGATGGGATATCTATTGGGCAGAACCATCATGTGTGCTATCTGCTCTATCACAATACTTCTCAGGATATCACTAGAAAACAAAAAGAGAAGCTTCTTATAAACTTTAACACTCAATATTACAGATTCTAAAATGTTTCACTTGGCAGGAAATTTGAAAATACTCTTCTATATTAAACAACCTTTCCTGATGTACAGTAATACATTACTGTTCACACAAGTTCAATAATCATGTGCATACTGATAATGCCTAAATTTTTATGCATCCTAAATTTTCTCCAAATTTAGCAATGCTTTAGAATAAGATTTTTTTAAATAGTAATGGTGAACATATAATGTTATTGGTACACAGACGCAAATTCAAATTACACTTCATATTCGTTTGAACATTTTCAAAGAAATTTAAATTGTACAGGAATACATATGCAACCAATATGGCATTTAGAGTATAATTCACACCTTCAACAATTTTTATCATGAATTTTCATCAAAGATGCATTCTGACATGCAATATATCACTAAGTTTCTTGTAGGTTTCCATCCATGCAATGTAAGAACTTCTATCACACAGCTTCTCAACTGCATTTGTTAAATTTTATCACGCCCTACAATAATGTATGTATACAGAATTCCATTATATTCATGCTATCCAAATTGAAACAGCTGATGAGTTTGTGCAGACCTTCACAGACCAGTGTCTTCAAGAAACTGAAACTATGCATATTATACTTTTTTTTTTTTACTTTAGTTTACAATATACAGTGGACCCCCGCATAACGATTACCTCTGAATGCGACCAATTATGTAAGTGTAATTATGTAAGTGCGTTTGTATGTGTATGTTTGGGGGTCTGAAATGGACTAATCTACTTCACAATATTCCTTATGGGAACAAATTCGGTCAGTACTGGCACCTGAACATACTTCTGGAGTGAAAAAATATCGTTAACCGGGGGTCCACTGTAATGTACATTATACAACAGGTCTTTGAGCTGAGGTAGGATAACAGTTCTTAGCACGTACATTAAACTGAGAGAAAAACATCAGTTTTAGAGCTGCTTATGCAGAGAGACTGGTGAACATGAACACTAATGGTGCTCTTCTCTTTCTCTTGTCTTGCATTACTGAGTGAATAATTTTACTTTTATTGTTAACTGCTAAAAAACAATCTCTTTTGACCAGGAAATGTGACCAGTGTGACTGCAATCATGTAGAAAAAATCAACCCTGTTATATAAGTAAATGCATACATATTCTACTTAGAAATCACCTCATCTCCCAAAATTAACCAAACAAACACTATACTTTATCACGTACCAACAACTCAAAAAATCCCAGATAATTTATAATGGCTCAATTAATTAAACATTATTTCAAACTTAAAACTGTTTCATTTTCATTAATGTAAATTGTACTAAACTCTAATACCGTAATTTTTTATACGTATACTTCATCTCAACTATAAATTTAATTACTATAAACCACTAGCTACCTCTGTTGTAATATGGGAAACAATGTACAGTGGAACCTTGGTACTTGAACAGCTCCCTACTCAAATAAATTGGTATCTGAATGCTTTGTTCAGTAAAAAATAGCTCGGTAGTCAACCGTTTGCTCGGCACTCGACCAAACAAATACGACTTTTTATATTTTTTGTATAAATAAATCATCAAGGGGCCTACGAAGACTAGTGATAACAGCCAACCAAAAACAAAATTGATTGGGAAAAATTCATTCAATACTCGAGCAAATTGGCACTCGAACAGCCTTCTGGAACGAATTAAGTTCAAGTACCGAGGTTCCACTGTATAATTAAAATTTACCACTCTTTGTTTGTCTAGTATTATGTGGTCTGTATGCATTAGGTTTAGTCTGCCTGAAATGCCCCGACATGATAGTGGTTTTCTTTGTACTTAAGAATTCAAAATATATATATATATTGACATGGAATATATTGACTATTCCATGCAAATCAAGCACAAATTGGTAGTATATAAATGCTACTGCTTGACCTATCACTGACAGGTAAAATCTGTTTGTAATTTACATTGGCAAATTACAACTATAGTAAAAAATTTCATTCATACTGTACTACAAAATTCTGACTAAAGGCAAAAACAGTTTGGATGATTTTTCTCACCTTAGTCCAGGCATATCAAATACATCAGCAAGGCCAATTAGATTGAAGTCAACATCAGGATTGTTAAGGAAAAATACTTGGAGGCCACCAACAAGGGGAATTTGTCTTACAAGAGGTTTCATCATCACTCGCATCCTTCCTGAGATCTGAGTCAAGGATAATATGGGGACATCCTTTTAAGAAATACATGTCTATTTCAAATAAGCTAAACAAATTAAATTAAAACAAAAAAATTACATATTACTATGAAAAATTAGACATTCAGGCATTTTTAATGTTATTTTTAAGATAAAGTGTACTATATTGCACTTGACACTAAATCATGTACAGTAGCTTTAATAATGTAACAGTGAAATAAGAATAATATTAAGACATAACAATGCAATTAATTAACTTACCTGTAAATCTTTGATGCCCATTTTGAACTTGGAAACACTCACTTCAAACTTGCAATCTCCAGCATACCTGAATAATAGAAAAGCAATAAACTTCAGGCAATAGTCACTGTTTTTGTAGTATATGTGAAATAATTAAGTACTATACATTTGAACAGGTCTTGTCAAAGAAGAATGACATGGAGAGTGTATAAATCTGTAGGGAAAGGAAGGCGGGGTAGGGGTCGTCCTCCAAAAGGTTGAAGGGAGGGGGTAAAGGAGGTGTTGTGGGCGAGGGGTTTGGACTTCCAGCAAGCATGCATGAGCGTGTTAGATAGAAGTGAATGGAGACGAATGGTATTTGGGACCAGATGAGCTGTTGGACTGTGAGCAAGGTAATATTTAGTGAAGGGATTCAGGGAAACCGGTTATTTTATATAACTGGACTTGAGTCCTGGAAATGGGAAGTACAATGCCTGCACTCTAAAGGAGGGGTTTGGGATATTGGCAGTTTGGAGGGATATATTGTGTATTTTATACGTATATACTTCTAAACTGTTGTATTCTGGGCATCTCTGCAAAAACAGTGATTATGTGTGAGTGAGGTGAAAGTGTTGAATGATGATGAAAGTATTTTCTTTTTGGGGATTTTCTTTCTTTCTGGGTCACCCTGCCTCGGTGGGAGACGGCCAACTTGTTGAAAAAAAAAATATATATTAAAGAATGATGTATAGTATCTAAATGAAATTTATAAATGAAGTGTCAGCACAGAGTTTGCAATAAAAATAAAGGGGGGTTAATAGAAAAGGGTGAAGCAAAGTAAAGTATTAAATATTTGGAGAAAAGAAAGGTTTAGACAAGGGAAAGGAAGTGATGTAAACATGATATAAGTAGAAGTTTCTCACTTATACATAATTAGGAGCTAAAACAATGAAAAGAAAATGTTAAAAAATGTCAAATCAGAAAAATATTATAACATAATAGAGGATGTAAAGGTAGCAATAACCAGATTCAAGTTAGAAAAGCCTCAGATGGATGAAATACATTACAGGAGATAACCTAAACAGCAGTGGAAAACTACTTATAAACTGGATATTACAAAAAAAGTAATTTTTAAAGATGGTAAGTTTTACTCCTTTTGTAATAAAGAGTTCGGGACACATAAATACACACATTAAAATAAATTAATCTTTAATATAATATAAAAATCAACTTTCTTTGGTCTAGAGGTATTTGAACTAACATCTGATAATATATACATGTTACAATAATAAATTATAATTAGCATTTACTAAAATAATAAATAATTCCCGACCCTACACAGGGTACAACTCTTGACACTACTGTGTTATATATCTATATGCTAAAATAATAAATTAAGTAACATTTAAAATAATAAATTACAATCAACTGTTTCTCACGACACTTATCCGAGTTGTGAAGCTCTTTCTCCACCGTGTCACTTGACACCCTTTTCTACGTGTAATACACACACTTTCGCAACCGTGTCACACTTGACACCCTTGTCTCTGCGTCACACTACCCGCATAGCGTCTTTGTCGAGGCCAGTCACATGACCCTATTCAATGTACACTACAACCAGGGCATCTTCAGTGTCACACGACACCCTTTTCATCTCAGTGTTCCACTACGGTCCTGTGCATGTCTCAGTGTTCCACTCCATCATACTTGCTTAAGTGTCACACTACGGACCTAGCCCAGTTCAGTGTAACACTCCAACCTTATCTTCATGTAATGTCCCACCAAACAGCATCCGATGACTCCGGCCCACAGTTGACAAGCGTAGGCGGTGAGTCCGCAGACATCACCGGTAGTCCAGTAAATACTCTCCAAAGCCGGTTGACACACCGCTAGCCGAACACCATGCTGCAAGCTCACTGAATGCGGCCGTCAAGTAACTGAGGCCAACAGACTCAGTGAGCTGCGGTGAGCGGTTCTTCTAACGCCAGTAGATGGGTACGATTAGGTGGTCAGGTACCTACTGCTTAGATGCGTACCCTGAGGAGTTCAGGTACTTAATGTTTCTAAAGCCAGTAGATGTGTACGATTAGGTGGTCAGGTACCTACTGCTTAGATGCACACCGTGAGGCACTCAGGTACTTAATGTTGCAGTGCGTACCGTGAGGTGCTCAGGTACATAATGTAGCTGAAGCCAGTAGATGTGTACGATTAGGTGGTCAGGTACCTACTGCTTAGATGCGCACCGTGAGGCACCCAGGTACTTAATGTTTCTAAAGCCAGTAGAGGTGTACGATTAGGTGGTCAGGTACCTACTGCTTAGATGCGCACCGTGAGGCACTCGGGTACTTAATGCATCTAAAGCCAGTAGATGTGTACGATTAGGTGGTCAGGTACCTACTGCTTAGATGCACACCGTTAGGCACTCAGGTACTTAATGTTTCTAAAGCCAGTAGAGGTGTACGATTAGGTGGTCAGGTACCTACTGCTTAGATGCGTACCCTGAGGAGTTCAGGTACTTAATGCTGCGGTGCGTACCGTGAGGTGCTCAGGTACATACTGTAGCTGAAGCCAGTAGATGTGTACCATTAGGTGTCCAGGCACCTACTGCTTAGATGCGTACCCTGAGGAGTTCAGGTACTTAATGTTGCTGAAGCCAGTAGACGTGTACCCTTAGGTGTTCAGGTACCTACTGCTTAGGTGCGTACCGTGAGGCGCTCAGGTACATAATGTTGCTGAAGCCAGTAGACGTGTACCCTTAGGTGTTCAGGTACCTACTGCTTAGGTGCGTACCGAGAGGCGCTCAGGTACATAATGTTGCTGAAGCCAGTAGACGTGTACCCTTAGGTGTTCAGGTACCTACTGCTTAGGTGCGCACCGTGAGTTCAGGTACTTAACCCTTTGAGGGTCGACAGGCCCTCTCCGAAACTCGTTCTCAGGGTCGGCCAAATTTAAAAAAAAAAAAATTATTTTCTCTTATGAAAAGATAGAGAATCTTTTCCCGATCATAAAGACACCAAAAGTTTGAAATTTGATAGAAAACTTACGGAATTATGCTCTCGCAAAGTTAGCGGTCTCGGCGATGTTTACGCATCGGCGATTTTGCCCACTTTGAGCCCCATTTTCGGCCAATTTCGCTGTACTAGTCGACAAAAAACATGAATATTTCGCTAGAACTCTCCATTTTTCTATCGAATGGGTGCAAGAAACCACCCATTTATGAAATTCAACTATCCAGTACAGTGGTCAGAATTTAGCAATTTTGCCAATTTCACACAAATTTCAAAAGATGCCAATTTCCGAATAGGGTCCAGAATAAACAAGAAAGACATTCCTGGCACTAAAATAACATTTCCTCTAGTCATTAGTCACGTCTCAAGGTCCCTCTTATATTCTTTTGCTTTCCATTTTGAATTTTTATTCTCACAAAAAATATAAGATTTACTGTTATGCAGACTACTGCATTAGTGTAAAAAATGGTATAAATATTATTGGTGCACTTGTGAAAGAATATTAGACTCACCAGTTGACGTGTATTGCACGCTTGGCACGATTTGTTTTACTTTTGAAGTTTGGTAAAAATCGAACATTTCTGCTACTTTGAGCTCAATTTCAAGGCACCTTTCATTGTAAAACCAGCCAAAATCATCTCAATTTCTGTAATATGTCTTCCATCTATAAAATGAGACCAAGAAAACTAGAATACAACAATAAATACCATACGAAAATACACTGCAAAGTTGCTGATTTATTCCAAAAAAATGGTCAAAGTTTTTTTTTCTCATTATGCACTGTGTGCTGCAGGATTTTTTTTAGACTGTGCACACTGACCACATAGACCCATTCTTTCATATGAAGGCCTACCAGCTTTCTCCCACTAGATTTGAGGCCGCTAGAATTTATGCGTACTAGTACGTCAAAAACCCCTACGCGTAAGACGTACTAGTACGACGAAAACCCTCAAAGGGTTAATGTTGCTGAAGCCAGTAGACGTGTACCCTTAGGTGTTCAGGTACCTACTGCTTAGGTGCATACCGAGAGGCGCTCAGGTACATAATGTTGCTGAAGCCAGTAGACGTGTACCCTTAGGTGTTCAGGTACCTACTGCTTAGGTGCGTACCGAGAGGCACTCAGGTACATAATGTTGCTGAAGCCAGTAGACGTGTACCCTTAGGTGTTCAGGTACCTACTGCTTAGATGCGCACCGTGAGGCACTCAGGTACTTAATGTTCTAAGGCCGGCTCAGCAGTCCCCACATTGGGTTTGATGACGTACCCAGTGGTACTGCCGGCCAGCAGGTTAACTATTTAACCGCTAGTTTGGCAGGGGGCCGCAACACTGGATGTAACACATATATACTGTATGAATATTGGAGCATGGAGAAGGTGCTATAAAATTAATAAAAACCAGAAAGACTCACTTGCCCTGAAACAAAGATGAAAATGGAAAAGCTAGAGTAAAATTAAAAACACAGCTTGATGAGTATACAGTACTAAGATAAAATGTAAGAAAAGTTTTTAATTAAGATGAGGGACTTCACAGTGCTAGATAAAGGATATACAAGGTCAAAATAGAAAAAGTCAAGGATTTACAGATCAGATATCATGTTCACAACATTAAAATATACAGTAAACAGAAAAATCAGGAAGCCAAAAAATTACCAATGATAATGGGAGCCCTTTGATTGAACTTTGTATAGAAAGGGGTTTAGTTATGGGTAATACATATTTTAAGAAAAAGAGGATAAATAAGTATACAAGATATGATGTAGGGCGAAATGACAGTAGTTTGTTGGATTATGTATTGGTAGATAAAAGACTGTTGGGTAGACTTCAGGATGTACATGTTTATAGAGGGGCCACAGATATATCAGATCACTTTCTAGTTGTAGCTACACTGAGAGTAAAAGGTAGATGGGGTACAAGGAGAATAGAAGCATCAGAGAAGAGAGAGGTGAAGGTTTATAAACTAAAAGAGGAGGCAGTTAGGGTAAGATATAAACAGCTATTGGAGGATAGATGAGGCTAATGAGAGCAAGGCAATGGGGTCGAAGAGGTATGGGGTAGTTTAAAAAATGTAGTGTTAGATGTTCAGCAGAAGTTTGTGGTTACAGGAAAGTGGGTGCGGGAGGGAAGAGGAGCGATTGGTGGAATGATGGTGTAAAGAGAGTAGTATGGAGAAAAAGTTAGCATATGAGAAGTTTTTACAAAGTAGAAGTGATGCAAGGAGGGAAGAGTATATGGAGAAAAAGAGAGAGGTTTTAAAAGAGTAGTGAAGCAATGTAAAAAGAGAGCAAATGAGAGAGTGGGTGAGATGTTATCAACAAATTTTGTTGAAAATAAGAAAAAGTTTTGGAGTGAGATAAACAAGTTAGGAAGCCTAGAGAACAAATGGATTTGTCAGTTAAAAATAGGAGAGGAGAGTTATTAAATAGAGAGTTAGAGGTATTGGGAAGATGGAGGGAATATTTTGAGGAATTGTTAAATGTTGATGAAGATAGGAAGCTGTGATTTCGTGTATAGGGCAAGGAGGAATAACATCTTGTAGGAGTGAGGAAGAGCCAGTTGTGAGTGTGGGGGAAGTTCGTGAGGCAGTAGGTAAAATGAAAGGGGGTAAGGCAGCCGGGATTGATGGGATAAAGATAGAAATGTTTAAAAGCAGGTGGGGATATAGTTTTTGGAGTGGTTGGTAAAATTATTTAATAAATTATGGAAGAGGGTAAGGTACCTAGGGATTGGCAGAGAGCATGCATAGTTCTTTTGTATAAAGGCAAAGGGACAAAAGAGAGTGCAAAAATTATAGAGGGATAAGTCTGTTGAGTATACCTGGTAAAGTGTATGGTAGAGTTATTATTGAAAGAATTAAGAGTAAGACGGAGAATAGGATAGCAGATGAACAAGGAGGCTTTAGAAAGGTAGGGGGTGTGGTGGACCAGGTGTTTACAGTGAAACATATAAGTGAACAGTATTTAGATAAGGCTAAAGAGGTCTTTGTGGGCATTATGGATTGGAAAAGGCGTATGACAGGGTGGATAGGGGGGCAATGTGGCAGATGTTGCAGGTGTATGGTGTGGGAGGTAGGTTACTGAAAGCAGTGAAGAGTTTTTACGAGGATAGTGAGGCTCAAGTTAGAGTATGTAGGAAAGAGGGAAATTATTTCCCAGTAAAAGTAGGCCTTAGACAAGGATGTGTGATGTCACCGTGGTTGTTTAATATATTTATAGATGGGGTTGTAAGAGAAGTAAATGCGAGGGTCTTGGCAAGAGGCGTGGAGTTAAAAGATAAAGAATCACACATAAAGTGGGAGTTGTCACAGTTGCTCTTTGCTGATGACACTGTGCTCTTGGGAGATTCTGAAGAGAAGCTGCAGAGATTGGTGGATGAATTTGGTAGTGTGCAAAAGAAGAAAATTAAAAGTGAATACAGGAAAGAGGAAGGTAATGAGGATAACAAAAAGATTAGGTGATGAAAGATTGGATATCAGATTGGAGGGAGAGAGTATGGAGGAGGTGAATGTATTCAGATATTTGGGAGTGGACGTGTCAGCAGATGGGTCTATGAAAGATGAGGTGAATCATAGAATTGATGAGGGGAAAAGGGTGAGTGGTGCACTTAGGAGTCTGTGGAGACAAGGAACTTTGTCCTTGGAGGCAAAGAGGGGAATGTATGAGAGTATAGTTTTACCAACGCTCTTATATGGGTGTGAAGCATGGGTGATGAATGTTGCAGCGAGGAGAAGGCTGGAGGCAGTGGAGATCTCATGTCTGCGGGCAATGTGTGGTGTGAATATAATGCAGAGAATTCGTAGTTTGGAAGTTAGGAGGAGGTGCGGGATTACCAAAACTGTTGTCCAGAGGGCTGAGGAAGGGTTGTTGAGGTGGTTCGGACATGTAGAGAGAATGGAGCGAAACAGAGTGACTTCAAGAGTGTATCAGTCTGTAGTGGAAGGAAGGCGGGGTAGGGGTCGACCTAGGAAAGGTTGGAGGGAGGGGGTAAAGGAGGTTTTGTGTGTGAGGGGCTTGGACTTCCAGCACGCATGCGTGAGCGTGTTTGACAGGAGTGAATGGAGACAAATGGTTTTTAATACTTGACGTGCTGTTGGAGTGTGAGCAAAGTAACATTTATGAAGGGGCTCAGGGAAACCGGCAGGCCGGACTTGAGTCCTGGAGATGGGAAGTACAGTGCCTGCACTCTGAAGGAGGGGTGTTAATGTTGCAGTTTAAAAACTGTAGTGTAAAGCACCCTTCTGGCAAGACAGTGATGGAGTGAATGATGGTGAAAGTTTTTCTTTTTCGGGCCACCCTGCCTTGGTGGGAATCGGCCAGTGTGATAATAAATAAAAAATAAATAATAATGGAAATTAAACTTTTATAAAGGAGAGTGGGAATTCAATCTGTCTTACATTCTAACACAAAATGTGGAGTGTATTTGAAAAAAAACTGGCAGTTACTGAGGAATCCAAGCATATGTCAAGACTTTTAAGTCACTGGCAGCACATTATGCTCACAACAGAAAACACCCATGCTCAATACCAGGTAAGTCAAGATGTATGGGCATGTCCTTACATTTCTTACCCTGTTTACCTAGAAGTAAAAAAATATTAATAAAGAAAACCCCTTTAAGGAGGAAATTGGCTGCCACATTCTTCACTCTCCACAATGCCACTTCCGATCACCCATCTCATTTAGCAATCTCACAGTTATTATGTCCTTCACATCTCAAAGCCAAACCAGGAGCCTTCTCTTCCATACTAATTTACAGGGCCCTATTACAATCACTGGTAACCAAATTATACGTTACCATACAATCCAACAGGAAAGTCCAAAATGTGGCCATGCCTACAACTCCAACAGAGATAATGGAAGGTGTGACAGGTGGAAATTGCTATGTTGAGTGTGGCCCGCATGATGTATGTAGCTTCAGTAACCTTACCCAAAGGCTGACATTTGTCAATTTATTTTCATTTCTTTGCCTGACAATTTATTTTGTGGGCAATATATATGAAAAACCTGAGCACTATGCTATCTTCATAAATAAATCTGAAGTGTGGAAAGTGTAAATAAGTAAGTTTATTCAGGTACAGGTGCACATAAATACAGTTACATAAGTTTTCATACATAACAGTATGTGTAGATTACATATCACTCTAAAACTAAACAAATAAACTAGTTCATTAAGTGCATTGTATGGTTTAGCAATAAACAATATACAGTGGACCCCCGCATAGCGAACGCCTTGCATAGCGAACAATCCGCATAGCGAACGCTTTGTTCGCTAAAATTTTGCCCCGCATAGTGGACAAAAACCCGCTCAGCGACCTTCGTCCGAGACGCGTCCAATGTGCGGCCTCAGCCAGCCTCACATGTGCCGCCCGTCCCATTGTTTACCAGCCAGCCTCCGCGGTAACATTCAAGCATACACTCGGAATATTTCGTATTATTACAGTGTTTTCGGTGCTGTTTCTGGAAAATAAGTGACCATGGGCCCCAAGAAAGCTTCTAGTGCCAACCCTGTGGTAAAAAGGGTGAGAATTAGTATGGAAATTAAGAAAGATTTTGAAGGGTTTGGGGCTAACCCTGAGAAGCCTATGCCAGTTGTGGAATCCATTGTGCCTACTTCAAAAATTAAGGAAATGTGTGCACAGTGGGTTGAACTGCAAACCTTTATGGATGAAAATCACCCTGACACAGCTGTTGCAAGCCGTGCTGGTGACTATTTCAATGACAATGTTGTGGCCCATTTTAGACAAATCGTAAAGGAACGGGAGGTACAGAGCTCTATGGACAGATTTGTTGTGCGACAGAGGTCCAGTGACTCTCAAGCTGGTCCTAGTGGCATTAAAAGAAGAAGGGAAGTAACCCCGGAAAAGGACTTGCTACCTCAAGTCCTAATGGAAGGGGATTCCCCTTCTAAACACTAACACTCTCTCTCCCCTCCTCCCATCCCATCAATCATCACCAGATCTTCAATAAAAGTAAGTGTCATGTAATTGTGCATGCCTTTTTCAGTTTGTGTGTACTAAAATTAACATTTTTTTGTGGTAAAAAAAAATTTTTTTCATACTTTTGGGTGTCTTGCACGGATTAATTTTATTTCCATTATTTCTTATGGGGAAAATTAATTCGCATAGCGAACATTTCGCATAACGACCAGCCCTCTTGCACGGATTAAGTTCGCTATGCGGGGGTCCACTGTAATGATATTTTTTAAAATTTCAACAGCACTTACGCAAAATCCATGTCCATTATGATTTCATGGCGTGAAGTATCATCATAAACCTTAACGCCTGAAAACCTAGGAGGTGTGTCTCCAAGGATGATCTTCTCAAATTTAAAACCATTAAGTTTATATTCTTCAAATGCAACACGCATGCTGGGTTCAATGGAAAATTTGCATAGATCCTGAACATAATGGCCTGCATAAGGCCACAACTGACGGATTATCTGTCAACAAAAAAAAAAATAGGAGATAATCATGGTTTATATTAAGCTATCTAAATACTGTAAATGACACTGCAGCAGTTTATCTAAGTAATTAACCTAGTAGTAATATAAAGGTATTATAAATAAAATATATGCACATGATAAGTCTGACAGTGATCCATGTATTATCCATGCATATTATCTGATACTGTATTATGTTTATCTTTGTTTTTATTACTATGTAAACACAGAATATACACAAATCCCAGTAGTGCTTAAGGTACAGAACTTACTTTGTTGAGCCACTCCACGCGCTCCATGTCTGGGAAGGTTACCTGAAACCAATAAGTAATCAATAGTATTACATAATTTAAAGCTTCTATCAAAAATATAAGACATAAATCTCTGTGGAACACTGAAAGGCATCCTTTTTAATGTAAGTTACTATATACAGGTGGGTCCCACTTATAAAGCAGGTTAGATTCCAGGCTACTGCTGTAAAGCAAAAATTGTCGGAAAGTGAAACATAGTTTATTTTCACTTTCAAATGCATAAAAAAGTCTAATAATATGTTTACTCTATCATATATTAAAAATAGACATACAGTACACAAATTACAAACCTTAAAATATTTTCGTCATCTTATACAGCACATTAAGTTCTGGGCTACTGCTGTAAAGTGAAACGTAACCTTTTTTTTTTTCACTTTCAAATGCATATAAAAGCCTGATAACCTGTTAGCACTATCATATATTAAGTGAGCAAGAGAGCTAGGCCTAAAAAATGCACATACAGTACACACATTACTTAAAATATTTTTGTCCTTAGCTTATAGTGAGTGGTGAACATATTTATTGTAGGAAGTCTGAATAAAAGAAGAAAGGCTATATATAATTGAAAACCTCTTCATTAGCAAAACACTGTAAAGCGAAATGCTGTAATGTGGGGCCCACCTGTACCTCTAACAACATTACTTATTCTTCATAGGGAAGTGGAAATGAATCCTTCCTCTAAGCAATGCATGTTGTAAGAGGCAACTAAAATGCCAGAGCAAAGGGCTAGTAATGCCTTCTCTTGTATGAATTACTAAATGTAAAAACAAAAACATGTGTTTTTCTTTTTAGGTCACCCTGCCTTGGTGGGAGATGGTCAGTGTGAAAAAAAAAAAAATACTTAATCTGTACTACTCTAATCTATCCTTACCTCACCTATGGTATTTTTACCTGGAGATCCACTACAGCAAATCACCTACAACCCATAGTAACTTTAACATAAAGCTACTGTACAAATGATCATTTGGGCAAGTGCTAGACCACACATGCCCCACTCTTCAAGTTTCAACTTACTCAACATACAAAACATTCACTTATTCTACTGTACCCAAAATGTTCCACATGCTAGTGGCTTTCTTTTGTGCTTAATAATGTTATTACACATAAACTACATTTTGTATACAGTACTAGAGAAATAAATAAAGTTTGTTTGTGTATACTATATATACAGGACAACCACTACAAATATAAACCTAATTCTGAAACTTTTTGAAGTGCTGTAACAAAGCTCATAGGCACAATACTATACTAGAAACAAATACCTCATTGATATTCTCCAAATTCAATACAATTAAAAAGCACATTGTACATAAAGGCCCCAAAATCTGGAGATCTCTGCCAGAAGATTTCAAAGGTTCCCTATCTGCCAACTACTTCAAAACTATTGCTAAAAAAGCACATTCTTGTTGTAATCTGATTCATGACCTTAATGTGGTTCATCTTGAATCCTGCTTGAGTTTTCATCCATCATTATCCTCCTGTTATTATTATTACTATAATAAAAAAGAAGTGCTAAACCTAGGGTCATACAGAGTATTATCCTCTTGTACTTTTTGTTTCTGCTATTTTACTATTCCCCTATATTGTGCCATATGTTACAATACCTTCAGTCTCACATAACTCATGTAACATGTTACCTCTGATGAGTTTTGAGGTTTTTTACTCCCAGACCTCAGCCCTGGGCTAGGCTTGTCTGGGGTCACAGATATTAATAGAGTGGAACCTTGGTTTTCGTTTGCCCTGGTTTTCATTGAATTCGGCTTTCGACGACTTTTTTTCGTCAAAATTTTGTCCCAGTTTTTGTTCATCACCTCAGTTTTCGTCGAGTTGACAGGGGTCCACTGTACCAAACATGTAGTGATTGTAGAAGAGGGTGGTAGTGATGGTGGTAGAGATAACCTCTCCTCCCTCTCCCCTCCTCGCCATCTTCCATATGCCAACAAGAGTCTTCAATAAAGGTAAAAGTGATGTTAAATGTTCATTTATCCATTTCATTAGTCCTTTATATTTATTTCTCATTGTTTTCTGTATGTAAAACTACAGTTATTCTCTATAAAATGTATTTTTTGTTAATACTTTAGGGTGTCTGGAACAGATTAAGTGGATTTATATTATTTCTCATGGGAAATATTGCTTCAGTTTTTGTTGAATTCGGTTTTTGTCAGACTTTCTGGAACAAATTAATGACAAAAACCAAGGTGCCACTGTACAATATTTTCTTAGGGTGCCCATAACACCACAGCATTTCACTGGATTTATTTTACTCTTTCTCCCATTTCTCTTATCCCGGTATGCATGTTGTTATGGAAGTGTGCAAATTTGTGACCAATTATAATTATTATTATTATAATCAAAAGGAAGCGCTAAACCTACTCGGGCCATACAGCACTGAAGGGTAGGAATTGATGCATGATCTAAGGATAAGTAAGGGTGGAGAGGACAATAAATGTAAAGGTAGGAAGGGTTGTGAGGAGTGCTAAAGGAAGGATTATCAAAGTTTGTGTTATAAATCAGTTGCTGTCAAAAGTCAGAGGGAATCTGTGTCAAAGGTGGGGCCATCAGCAATGATGGAAAATAAAGTAAGGGTGTTAGAGTGGTGACGACGTTGGAGGAAAATTCTGCGTGCTCGCTGATAGACAGGACAGTCCAACAGAATACGGGAAATTGGAACAGGAACTAGACAATTCTCACAAAGTGGAACAGGATGCCTCTCCATTTGTGACCAAGCCCTAGTTTAGGTAGGTTCATCAGGAAACAGGACAAGTGTTTCCATATGATGACCCACAGCTTGAGCTTTTGGTCACCTGACCAAGGCCTTCTGTGGCTTACCATAACCCATTATTTATTATAATGCATCTCTTTTTCTTTCTCCTCTGCTCCAGAGAGTACATACAGCATTTAAATGCTTTAATGGCTTTATGCAGGTTATAAATGATTTCTATCTGCTCTAGGTCTTATATCTCCCCTATCCTGAATGGGGCTGTCAACACTAAGCAATATTGTAAATCAAAGAGCACAAGTGATTTCAGTAGTGTCACCACTGGCACTCTTTCCCTTGTTTTAAAAGTTTTGAATATCTACCCCATCATTTTCCTGGTAAGCTGACATTATTACTCCCAGGTCTTTCATGTGTTCCTTTCATTTTGTTTGATGATCCTCTTGAGTTTTGTAAAGAGTGTCCCTGTTGATTTCCTCATTCTTTCCATATCTAAGCAATGGGAATTTATCACTACTGAATGTCATGTTGTTCTCCACTGCCCACTGCTTACATCTTCCTGCAGTTTTTCATCCACAAATGATACAAAACTCTGGCAAGGAAAGAAACATGTTGGGGCACCAGCACTATAAGGAAAGAGACATATTGGAGCCACCAGCATTATAAGGAAAGAACATGTTGGGGCACAAGTACTATAAGGAAAGAGACGTATTGGAGCCACCAGCGTTATAAGGAAAGAAATGCGTTGGGGCACCAGCATTATAAGGAAAGAAATGTGTTGGGGCACCAGCATTATAAGGAAAGAAATATGTTGGGGCATTAGCATTATAAGGAAAGAAACATGTTGGGGCACCAGCATTATAAGGAATGAAATGTGTTGGAACCACTAGCACTATAACTGCAAGGTAATGTGTTAGGCACCAGCATTATAAGGAAGGTAACGTATTGGGGGCACCAGCATTATTAGGAATAATGATAATTTTTATTTTGACATGATACATGGTTATACAAAGGAATATAATAGCTGGGTGTTCATGCCAAAAGCCCCTTTGCATGCAGAGCATTTCAGACAAACTCAAAATTAACTTATGATATTAATAATAAGGCAATAACAGTTCATATGGTCATTAGATGAGTTACAATGAGTACAAGAGAATTGAGTATTCTATTAGGTAATGCTGTATGGCTTTAATAAGTCTAGTAGAACAGTTCAGTGTAGAATAACTACAGTTTTGATATAGTTTATAAAAAGTACAGTATGGTGGACCCTCGGTTATCGGCCATTCCAGATATCAGCCAATTCGGTTACCGCTCGGTTTTTTGGCCGAAATTTTATCCTGGTTATCAGCCGTATTAGACACGTCCACCCGCAGCAAAGTATGAAAGTGAAGGAGGAAGAGAGAGGGGTGAATGTGCCTTCTTCAGTGATTCAGTGATTCTACAATATGTACGATACTAAAGCAGCAGGAGTCACGCCAGCCAGCGATAAAGTGTAGCATTAAAAGTGTAGCAAGTAAGTTAAACGATTAAGCGACAGAAAAAGGACGACACGAAACTGACTCCTCCAGTGTTGTTGGAGGTATACAGAGCCACTGACAATACAGTGGAATCTCTACTTGCGTGTTTAATCCGTACCATGACCTTGCTCACAACTGGATTTGCTCGTTTGCAGAGTCAATTTTCCTTATTTAAGTTAATTGAAATGCAATTAATCCATTCCAGTGGAATTCTGTACTTCAATAATTTCGCTAATATCAACTCCATGGCTTATTTATCTATCACAGTTCATCTAATATGACATAACAAACAATATAAATAACACAGAAACCTAATATATACTCTAGAATGAATAAAATATATCATTATATATGTGGCAGAGGCAGCAGCTGACAAGAGTTTGTCTGGAGACAGGACAAAATACTCCTTGAATATTTCGCTATCATCAACTCTACGGCTTATTTATCTATCACAGTTCATCTAATATGAAATAATAAACACTATAAATAACATAGAAACCTGATATATATTCCAGAATGCATAAAATATGTCATTATGTAACAAGTGGAGGCGGCCACAACCGCTCCCTCTTTGTTGTGGCAAACACTGCCATCCAGTGATGTACAATATGAAGTACATATTACAGTTTAGTAATTTTAAAACAATGAGACTGAAACACTTATAAGCTTGAAGTAATGAGTAAATGGTTGAGCAATCATCAGAAATATACAATAATGAAAATGAAACTATTTTAAGTCTGAAGTAAATTATCAAATAGTCGAGCAGTCTT